CAGCGCTCAGGAGGCAGAGAAAGGGGGTCAATCTCTATGACTTTCAGAGCTGTATGTTCTACACAGAGAGTCTCAGGATAGCCAGGGCCATACAGTGAGATCCAGTCTCAAAAAGAGTAAAATATATAAAATGAGGATTCAGGAAATTTTCCTATCTCATTTCTCGAATTCAACATACTCCTCAACCATTTCTCAGCCCTGCCTTCACTGATATGCAGCAGAAACACAGTCTGACACCAGGTGATACCCACAAACTGAAAATTTCTCTCTCTCTCTTCCCAAACAAAATGACTGATCTTGTATTGTGCACTTGGGACTCTCCAGATGGTCAGGGTTCTAGAAGTCAGTGACAGCACAAGCTGGCCATCATCCACTGGGAAGATCTGGCCAAAGGCTTTAACATGCATCAGTGTTTGCTAACAGCCCAGGATCAGATGGTCAGAGTGGAGCTGGAAGCCAGCTACAGCAGAGAAGCTGGTTCCTCCCTTGTCACACCTCTGCAGTCTCTAATTCTCCCATTGCTCTTCAGTTGAGCAAGTCAATGATAAATTTACCTTTGTGTCGGGGATGCTGTCACATGCCACTTTATGAGATCCTTTTCATCACATCAAAACCAGACTTCAGAGACTTATCTTCTGCCACACACAAATACTTACTTTGCTCAATCTTACCTTCAGGTGCATGATTCACACAGATTAGGACCCTGGAGTCCCTGTTGAGTTCATTTTCCCTTGTGAATCAGTGAGCTGCTCCCTACCTGGAAGGTGTCCTGGAAAACAGTTGAGACACTACAACTCAACCAATGCTTCACACTGCACCAGGGGCTGTCATCAAGAACTCCATGATGATCAAGGTTTCCTTCTGAGTCTGACCCCAATGGTGGGCATTGGCCATTAAGAATTCCCATGGCTGCTGTTCTTGTAGAGGCAATACTCAGCATCAGGCCTGGCAATGCATACTTACCTTCCCACACTGGAGCAGAACAATGTTAATGCAAGGTCAAGTATCAGTTATAAATGCCTCTATGAGATGGAAAAATGATGCAGAATTCTTGGATCAGGAGGTGGGAGGCACCATGGGAAGCCTGGATGAAGGAGGCTATGGAGAAAAAGACATAGATGTCATCTCATCTGCCAAAGGCCATGACAGACAAGACCAGCAGAGGACCCCACTGCATGATGCAGCCACCGTTCTCTTGCAACACCCTTCTTCAATAGCCCAGAATCAGAATCCCTTCCAAAGCAGCCTCATAGTTCTCTACCTTACATATGCCAAGCACAATCAAGGCCTTCCTCCTCATTGCTCGCTCTAAAGCTGAGGTCACATTTTGCTCTGTTTGAGACATTTGTTCCTGGTCTCAGTTCTTCAACACCTGCCCCAGCAAAACCTCCTCTTCTCCACTCATTTCAGGTAAGCTCCTCTGGACACACTCTACCCCTCTCTACAGGTCCTCTCATTTCCTCTTCATCCTCTCCATCCTCCCTTTTCCTGTTCCTCCGCCTTATCTCCATCCTCCCATCTCCCAGTGGATTTACAGTTCCTGCAGTTCTTCTGAAAGACAGTCAGAAAGCAGTTTGGAGGTGATGAATGAATCAAAGAAGAGGGAAGCCTGAGATCTATGTGCAAGTCTGTCCTGTTGACAGAGGCAGCCCTTTTAGATG